AGGTAGGTAGGTAGACAGGCAGACAGATAGATAGGTAGATAGATACATAGACAGATAGATTTGATAGATAGATAGTGTGAGCTTGTATACAAACATACGTCTAAGAGAGAGAGAGAGAGAGAGTGTGTGTGTGTGTGTGTGTGCGAGAGTGAGAGAGTGAGAGTCGGTTTTGACCGGCACACTCGCCGAGGTTTGTGGAGCTTGGATCATGCAGAGCTCTCGGTGCCACTGGGTCCCCCGACCTTTGCGCGGACGCAGGCTGCGAAACTCTTGGAGCCAATGCCCCACTCCTTGTTGCCGGGCAGTTGTTTCACACATTTTCTCCGGATACGCGCTTTGTCTAAGTATGATACAAATTCAGAATAGTAAACTCAAGAACGAAAACCTGCATATTGGCCAATAAAAGCCCAGGCTGCTGCAGACGGCGAACGCGCAATTCTTCGCGCTTCTGCCCAACATCAAGGTGCCTTGGGCTCTACTGTACACTTGATAAGCCCTGAACCCCATCACTCGCCAGGTAGCCAAATTTATCACCCCAAGGCTCAAAATGGGCACCTAAACCCTAAACCGCCATGCACGAAATCGGCACCTAAACCCTAAACCGCCATGCAGATATACATTGCGGTCTTCGGGCTCTGAGGCTGCTTAGGGCACTATATAGGCCAGGCTTCCGCATCCCTCTTGGGGAGTTGGAGAAGTTTAGGGTTTAGGGATGTTTGGGTTTAGGGATGTTTGGGTTTAGGGTTTAGGGTTTAGGGGAAGCCAAGCTTCGCATGTCTCGACCCGACCAAGTCTGTCGGTGCAGGGCTTGGGGTTTAGGCTGCTGGGCAACGAGGCCTGTTGCAAAAAGGGTTTACTGGGTGGCAATTTGGGAAACTTTAAAATTTCGCTTATGGTTTCTAAAGAGGCACCTAGTCGTATTTTTTCAGGGCCCCCAAACTACAACCCAATTTAGAGTTTGGAGGGGCCGTGCAGCAGAATGAGCCAGCCAGGTGCACAGACCCCACGTCTCCACCGATCCTTTCTCCACGGAGCTCGTCATGGAGCGTGGAAATACAGACTGGTGGCTGGGCTGCGGAGTACCATACTTTACTTTTTTTGGGGACCTGTTCCTTAAAGGAACCATTTTGAAATAAAAATCTAAATTTTCTTTCCCTGGCTACTCCAAAGCCGAGGTGGGCAGCTGCAAAGAACAAGACCTTCTTGTACCCCATCCATGCCTCGCGATCCTTCCTCCAGACGCCAACGCTTGCCTCAGCTTTGTACATGATGCTTGCTTTCCAATTTAATTAGGTTTAGGGTTTAGGGTTTAAAGAGTCCCAAAATCTACAAGCCCTAAGCCTTGTAGTCCTTGAGCCTCAAATCCTCCAGTCCTTCTGATTGTCATCGACGTATGATTTGGTTTTTCCCCACCGCCGAGGGGTACGCTTGGAGCCCAGATACCAACCGGGTGTAGTGATAGTTTTCCAGGGCTTTGTCTAGAAGGTAGACTTGTCGGATGTAGGGTTTGGAGTCCTGAACCCCAAAACCCTAAACCCTCGACCCTATTTGAGGCCAGACCTTCCCCAAAACCCCAAAAAGGCCCTAAAAGGTCCTAAACCCCAAAACCCCTAAAAGGCCCTAAAAGGTCCTAAACCCTAAACCCCTAAAAGGCCCTAAAAGGTCCTAAACCCCAAAACCCCGAAAAGGCCCTAAAACTCGAAGCCTGACCGACTCCCAGGATGATGTTGCGCTGGATGCACCGGGACTATCGTGGCGTCGCTGGCTTGGTCAGCGCCGTGGGAACGGACAGCAAGTTTGAAGATGACGAGATGCAAATCTTCAAGAGTTTGGGTCGTGCCTCGGCTTCAGGGTTTAGGGTTTAGGGTTTAGGGTAGCTGTGTATACTAGAATAATGATATACCCTGCCGGAACTGCAGGTTTTGCCGTCTGAGCTCATGCTGACTTGAGAGCTAGATTTAGAGATTGAGCAGTTTAGGATTTATGCTTAATGTATTACTTTGCGGGCCGCTCTCGGCAGTAACCGTTAACCTGCTTCGTCGATTCTTAAGACGAAGCAAGAACCATAAACTGTAGAGCGGCCAGAAGAAGAGCCGGCCAGATCGTCCATTCTGACCTAGACCCTAAACCCTAAACCTTAAACCGTTCTGCTAGGCATCACCGATCCGCATCCAGATTCCCACGCAAACCGTCTGCGGGTGTCTTTGGCCATCGCCGATGCGAACATGGAGCTGCCTTGGGATCTTCTGCAGGACCGCCTTAGGGTTTAAGATAGGGGCCTTAACAAGTAGAATGGGTTTGGGTTTAGGGACCCTAAACCCTAAACCCTAAACCGCCTTAGGGTTTAAGATAGGGGCAGCGAACCTCAAGCCTAATCAGCCTAATCCCTAAACCCTATAAACCCTGAACACGAAACCCTGCACCTTAAACCCTAAACCCTAAACCCTAAACCCTAAACCCTAAACCCTGCACCTTAAACCCGTAACCCATTAGCCCTAAGTTCATGCTGCTCTCAGCTCCAGAAGCGCCGACAGGAGACGGCTGGCTACTTGGGTAAGCTTGCCCACGTCTCTGCCAGGCTTGGGCTGCTCTTTGGGGTTTAGG